GAGAGCTCGTTCTTAGGAGAGCCTTGGACATCACTTACATTAGCAACACTCCTAAACATACTGACCTTTTTGTGACTTTTCCAGATTGAACTGCTCTAGCTGCTAAAGGAAGGGGAAAAAAAAACCAAACAAACAACAAAACAAACCAGCTTCTCCTCAGCTTCCCAAGTTATAAAGCCTCAACAAGCCACCACTTTAACGAGATCTCCACAAATGTCAGCAAGTTATATGAATTTCCACTGAATTTACGCTTTCACTACTGCGTGTAGAACTTTCTGAGTAAATGAGCCATCTCCTCCTAGTTAGCATTACGCCTAGGAAGGAAAGGCATAGTACTGACCAGAGGAAACAGCAGTGATGTCCAGGGGTTTACTATTGTCTTGGAGTGGGGTTTCAGGGAGGGTGGGGTTTTTGCTCTTTGGTTTTTTAAGCTGTTTTCTGTGTGTGATTTTGCACTCTTCATTGCTGCAGTTTGCTTTCTCTTAAAGATGTCGGTTTCCAAAAAATTGCTGCAGAATCCAGCCTCTCTTCAGAAACACACAAAGACATTTTTACTGGATATGACCAGTACACTCTAAGAAGCGTGCTGATTAAAATACACTGGTTTGATCTGTTATTTTGAAGTTTGTATTACTTTCTCCATTGATGTTTTTCCCTTAGAAGTCACTTTAAGCTCTCCTAAAGCTCTTTTTATTAATCAGTTTCTGGCAAATTCCTTAGCCATTTATGCAACATCTGAAAATCTTCTGTAAATATCTTCTGTTAGTTATGGGGTTTTTTCTTCCTTTCAGTAGATTCCTTTTGATCTGTTTTGGTGATGGGTTTTGGTTTTTTGTTTTGTTTGGTTGGTTTTGGGTTTTGGGGGGGGTTTTTTGAGACAGAAGATATTTTTAAGCTTTATTTTGGCAGCAATCCTGTAAATATGAAAAGTTCTCTAAAATGTCTATCATCAGCTATGTAAGGTGCTACTTTTAGAGGGTGTACTTTGCTATTACTTAATGTCTTCAAATATGAAAATAAATGCTCTGCTTATGCAGCTTCCACGGTGGCTATTTATAGACTGCTCGTCTTCCCTGTTATTGGTAGGTGTAATTACCAAGCCATCACTGGGAATTTTCCTAATCACAAAAGCCTCTTAGTTGTAAGTACAAAGCGGTCTGCTCTGCATTCTGAGTAGGCAGAAATGAGAATAACTTATGTCAGCTGTCCTGTCTCATGCGAGATCCTTGACCCTTTCATGCCTCGCTCCCTTCTGCAACCTAACTTTAGGAAAGTTAGGATTTGGTGAAAAAGAAAGTTTGTCCAGTTTAAAACAGCTGGTTTTGCGAGCAGTAGAGTCCCTGTTTGCTTGTGTGGTCTTTTAAAACCTGCCCTCCCAGACACCCTGTCGGCTACCTGATATTTTTTGCCCTTCATTGGGAAGGAGCACATGAGTTTCTGGCAGCTTGCTGATAGACAGCACCTCAACCTACATGTCCTTGTGGTGTATCTAAGAAGCAACTCTTTCATGCTTACTAATATTTGGAATTTGTGATGTTGGGGATGACTTAAATTTCTGTGAACCTGTATAGTTCTTCAATTTCTCTGAATTTGAAAAGAGGAAAAATATTGCTTGTGTTTAAAGACAGAGGGAAGGCACCCTTGTGCACATTTTTTTCTCTTAACCTATTAGCTTCACTTTTAAAATAAAATTTCATTGGAAGTACAGCACTTCAGAACGCTCTTACAAAGTCACAGTTTTCTATGAAGTACTTTTCCTGTTGAATAAGAAAATCACACCAGGTGTGGAGGTGGGAGGGAGCCTACAACAGCAATAAAACCCCCTGAACCTCTCTAGCTTGCAAGGTGATTAAAAAAAAGGGAAGATTGTTCTTTTGATAAGCTGTTTGATAAATTTAGTTCATATTAAATTCAATTTCTTGGTCAAGGGTGTTGAATGAATTCAAGGTTTCAGATCATCAAAAAGAGAAATATCAAAGAAATTTTGTCGGCCGGATAGATTTCCAGAACAGAAACCAAAATTAGCATTTATGGGCTGAATGGGAAGCTAGGGAGATAACCACTGCGTAAGAAAGTTTTTCTTCTTCTGATACATAATATCCACATTTAGCCCCAGAAATGTGTTTTATGTAGAACTGTATTTGTGCTCATTCCCATCTAACCCTTGACCTTCAGACTTCTCCTTCAAGCCAAATAGTGGTTGTTTCGGTAACAGGAAAACAGGAAACGCTGTGGGCTGCCATGTTCAATGAGTGATCCCCAGCACCGTCCCAGTGGTGCCAGCTGCCTCTGGCTGCTCGTCCTCTGTGCCGTCCGTTAGAACAGTGCCTGTCACAGACTGTCACGGCTCGGGGTGAGGCACCAGGAGAGCACCTGAACCTGTAGGTTCTGTCAGGGAGAACAACTGTCCTGCTAGCGCCTGCGCTAAGAAATCCTTTATCCCCATTGGACTCAGGACTCTCGGAACCTTCAAAGAAAGATCAAAGTAACGTTACAGAAAGTTCTGGTTCTCATCTCAACACCTGTTAGGAATTCTCTAGAGAAGCCCTTTCATTCTTCAGTGCTTTATTTTTAACAGTAGCTCCTTACAAGTGTAGTCTGGCTGCTCAGCTGTTGGCTGGGGTCAACCCACAAGTGGCTCTTCAGTCGAGGTCAGTCATATTCTCTAGGTTTACAGTTGTTTTTCTAGAACAGAACAACAAAGTTAACAGTTTTTAGAGGACAGATTTCAAAATAATATGACACAGTTTTATTGATCTCTGGTTGGCAAATTCAGTGGTAGAGCCACGAACTAGAAAGAAAAAAGGTTCTTCACTGTGGAAATGACTCTTAGAGGTTTGTTACTCTGAGTTTATTCCACTGCTACCACAGAACGATTTATCAAATCGGGAAAGTCTTCCTTCCTACAGTTCAGAGTTTACAGGTGCTATGTTCATGTTATTACATTTCAGAGTTTACGTTGCTTTCATGTTACAGCTTTTGTAACCAATGGGACTAACTGGCCAAATAATCTTGGACTGGAAACCTTCCTGATGGTTCGCTGCAGCATGAAGAAAGTGTCATGGAAAAGATCTTTTGCCTTCCAGTGCATTGCTAAATGGATTTTTAAGTCTGTTTTGGAGACTTACGTAGCCTGCTTTGAAGTGTGTCTGAATACAGTGATTTCATATTGCTGAACTAGGAACAGAGCTTCTTATGTGAAAAAGCAGACCCTGACTTACGTGAAATTACACAACTACATAGGAACTGATGCAGCTTAAATCGTGTGTCACCTTTGTGATGATTTTAAATGTTCAGGCTTATGGGCCTGGTAAGAATTCAAATTGTGGTCTAGTACAATAAGTAAGAATGCAGCATTTTCTATATCTCCAGTAGAGGTGATCTTTGGATCAAGTTGTGCTTTTTGATGGTGTTCTCTGTTTTCTGCTTTGACAGTTGCTGCAGAGGAACTCTCCTGGGTTTGGGTCATTCTGAATTTCATGGACAAATGCAGCTCCCTAACAAGGGGGATGGAGAAAACTATTCCTGGTTTTGTTGGATGTTGTGAATTTACATTCAGAAAGATGAAAAACTCTGAAATACAACTCAAAAACATGAGTGGCAGTTACTTACAAGAAAAAGGGAACTTTTTGAGTATGGAGGAGATTAGTTTTACAAGATTGTATTTAGAAGATGTCTGTGTATGTAGTCTTATTTCAGATGAAAAGAGCCACGAAGCCTGATGCAAGAAATTGAGATTTGACAACTCCCTTTTGATTAAATTATATCTATTCCTCTGATTTGTCTAACTCTTAATAGGGTATTAAGTGGATAATAGTGTAATGTAAAAGAGTAGGAGAACTGAATGGAGGTGTATTTAGTAATATTATTGGCAATTAAAAAGCCTGAAGAAGGGTTATGATTGTATGATCCACGTTGTATAAAAACAGTATGGTCACCTTGTCCTTTGAAATTGATTTTCTTGCTTTAAAGGAAATATCTTTCAGGTCATCCAGCATGCTGCAAATCATTCACTCTTACAGATGGACATTATATTATAATTCCTTACAAAATAAAGATGATTAAATTACTGGTTCTGCAAAGATATCCCTTTAATATCTTTAAAAGCAATTATGATTGTCTGTTGTGCCACATGACTGGAAGACGCAGTGCACAATATGAGCTGAGAGGGAATTTTACAGCAGCGTTTGCCTTTCTGAGCAGTAGATTTTATTGCCAGAAATAAATTCCATCCCTAAGCCTCTTCCCCAACACATGCTTCTTAATATATTGAAACAAGTAGCTTCGGCTTGCTTTGTTTTGAGATCTGAAAATGGTTACAGCTAAATCTGGAGGTGATGTATGAAGAGAGAAAAAATACTCCAAAAACTATGAGTGTGCTTGTCTGAGGGAGGGAATCTGGAGCAGTGGGTGTGTTAAAGGACAAGGAAAAAAAAAATCTAAATTAGATAGGAGCTCCACTGTTTTTAATGGCTTCTTTTTGCATGACTGACTTTATTTTTTTCCCGTATTTTTTTTATTCTCAGCTTGCAAGTTATACCTCTTCACATGGTTTTGTTCAATAAATGTAACTTGACATCAGAGGGATGGGGGTCAAGGGTGTTCTTTGTTTCTTGTTTGTCATTGGCAGCTTTTTAGTTCAGTTTCTGGAAGGTACCTCTCTCCCAGCAACAGGAACATTGATGTTGGGCTTGTCTTTTGCATTGACAGATGTTTTGACTTTCATTCCTGAAGCTGCTTGCATGTAAAGCTGCTCTTTGGAAGGGTTATGGAGCAGGGAAATGTGTAATAACATTCAAAGATGTGTTTGAAAGCTAGTTGGCTATTAACAGTGAATGGTATGTTCTGCAGGATGCTTGTGTTTCTCCTGAAACAATACCAGCTCGTAGTAGTAGTATGTTAGTCAAAAGTGATTGGCAAAATTGTTGTAAAATTTCAGTCAGTTGTCTTCAGGTCCAGTAGCAGAAAATTAATAGTTTTGCATTTTAATTTCTCCTCAGAAAGCCTGAAAAAGGAGTCCAGTACCTAATTGAGCGAGGTTTTGTGCCAGACACTCCGGTTGGTGTTGCCCACTTTCTCCTGCAAAGGAAAGGTCTCAGCAGACAGATGATTGGAGAATTTTTGGGAAATCGGCAAAAACAGTTCAACCGGGATGTACTGGAGTGAGTATTGTGTGTGGGGAGGGGGAAGCGTATTTTAATGTTCAAGTAAGATGTTTCATCAAGCTGGAGGTAGTAGTGGTTTCTGAATGTTTTGTGCTTATCTCAATCTTGTTCTGACACAGGAGGAAACCAGACTCTAAGGGTTAAGAAACAAACATGCACATGAGCAAATATTTATTTCTTTGCTTTCCAGCTAAGTTACTGTTTTTGTTACTGATCCAGCAAGATACAAGGATTTATATTCCCTGTAGTCATGTACATTTACTCTAAATTTATGTTTTAATTTTATTGGTGTTAGTGTGTTTTATTTCCAAGTCTTTTTCCTTCCTTGGGCTCTCTAATAATTTACTGAATGAAACGAAATAATATTATATGCAACATAAGGCTTCATCAGTAACAGAACATGAAAATAATTATTACAGCCAAATGGCTCAGATGTTAGATAAACAGGGATTTCAGCATGTACAGGCATATGCTGACAAGAGCTACACAAACTGTTCTTTTCCAAAAGATGAGATAAACAAAAACTGTTTTAAAAACCAAAGAAATTCAAAGCAGAAAATTAGACTTTTAGCAGCTTAGTCATAAATTTCTAAACCTTATTACAGAGTAGGCCAAAAAAGAACTTGATTTATTTTAAGAGAGTGTTCATTTAAAACACGTATTCTTTTGGGGCTTTTTTTTTCCTTTGTATCTGATAGCTTGACCTGTAAGCATGAATGCATCTCATTCCAATCTTGTTCAAGGAGTTGCATAAAAATTTAGTTAGGTGTTTAACAAAAGAGCTGAGAATGAAAGCAAAAAAACTCCACATCTTGCCCATTAAGGAAGACTGGCTAAAATTCTGACCACAGGTTTTAACCAGAGTCTAATAAAAGCTGTGCTGAAATTTTCCCTGGTCTGTAGATGCAGTCTTTCTTGAGATCTGAATGTTGATACCTAATATTGATACCATAATACTGTTACACTGCAAAAATCTTAAGGTTATGGTATCATGACACAAAGGGCCTGCCAACACCTTAGAGTTTCTTTGCATATTTCTTCATACTGCAAAGGTGTTGGTCACGTTCCCTGCAGTCATCCTGAGCTTACTATTATGCTGTCAGATTAGGTATCTCCAACTGGAAGCTTGAACACTGCATTAATACAGCTAATACCACGGGTACCTATGCCATAGACCTTTTTTAGAGGTGCTCTCTTTCTTTCCTGTGCTGTATATAGTACAGTACCCAGCAGAAGCAACGGAAGAGGCTCTGTACCGAAGCATGTGGTGAAGTGTGGTAACAAGCCTTGCAATACAGAGTCATAGGGTATGGCTGGATCCTGGTGCAATCCCTATTCAGCATGAGTCATTATTAGCTACTTGTAACGATTGTCTGGATTTTGCAATTATGAGTCAGACTAGGGTGAAGACTTTCCACAGAGTGTGTATTTTCTAATTTTTTTAAATCAAACAGTACAGGTCCAGGATGAGATTAGTTATAATGTTAGATTATTCATTTTGTGATCTTGAGCAAATCATTTGCCCCCACCATCTCAAAGAGAATATGGGGAAATATGGGGAAAATAGAAGGATGTCTCTGCTAAACCAGATGCTGTATCTGTGGGGAGGTGAATTGTTAAGAGTAAGGTCATAATCACCTACCTACAACCCCACAGCAGTCCTTTTATTGAAATTAATCTGTTCTTAAATAAGCTATTTCAGCCATGCTTTGGGTGAGGAACACCCTGTAAGCGGTGCAGTTCTCTTGATAGTGTTCTGAACCTTGCCTGCAAATAGGAACAAGGTATTTTTTCTTAAAAAGAGACAATAGAATAGCATTTCATCTTAAATATCATATTTACAGATTAGAGATAATTTTGTCAAACTGATACCAACTCCAGGCTGTTACATGGAAAAGATACCTTAACAGATCATCCTTCTTCTGTTACACAGTTTAATTTCAAGTGACTTGCTTTGCTTTGTGTTCCAGTTTCCCAGATCCTGTAAATTAGGGTGTTTCAACTGTTTGAAATCTTCTTTTCACTGGAGCTTAGAAAATACTGAAGAGAGTAGCCTGAATTTTTGACCAAGAGCTGCATTCAGGGCCTACTGTAGGTGCTGGCAGGTGGTAGCATGGGGCTGGCATAGCTGGCGGTGATGCTGTTGCCCTGGCCAACATTTGAGGCCCATCAGCCACTGCTGCTCTGCAGTGAGCCTCAGCTTGCTGTGTGCCTGACCAAGGGGTGTTTGATGGAATGGAGATGTAGCTGAGGATCTGACCTTCTGTTGTGCCTCAACTTTGCATTAGAAAACAGAAGTGCAGTCACTCAAAGGAAGAATAAAATAAAACCATCATAAAGAACGCTGCTACAAGTGGGAGGGAAAGCAGGACCTTGCGTTGCTCTGTACGGGACTCCATCACTTCAGTTTACTACACTGCAGTTATGTGCAAGAGTACAGGCAGATGGTACCATAGAGGATCAAGGCAAATGTAGCTGTGGTGACCCAGCAAGTGCCACGTTCCACTCTTCTAGCCTGAATTTTGTAGAGAGGTGGTAAGCTGGGGATAGTTCCCAGGCAGAAGTTTCAGTGATCTGCCTGCCTCGAAGTGGTGAAGCCTCACTAATTCCTGCTTTTACCTGCCTGGGACATGTAAGTACAAGAGGGAAGATGTATTGTTCAGCATAGACTTGTTCACCCAGAGTATGTACGTACTCAAGCTCTCCTGCAGTGACAGAAGTCCGTTTAATCATGCTCTCTTTATCACTATGATCATGATATTATTATCAGGGTTATAATTTTGTTAACCATTGTATGTCTGATCTTACTTTCATGATTCCATTTGCTGTATTGACCCAGCCAAAGCAACTTGTTCCCTAGAAAAGTTTGGTTAACTATTTTGAAATATTTGCAGAAAAATACTGGTTCCAGTAAAAGAACATTGACCATGGTGTGTACCTGCTGTCTCCACAGCTCATACAAAAGATTGTTTAAGACCCCTCCCCATGATGTTGTTGGCCAGCGTGTTTCCAGAGGCCCTTAATTGCTCTAATTGCTTCATTTTGACTCCAGCTTGTCTGCACATGTGCTTTACACCTTTGAAGGAGAAAAAAGCTTTTGGAAGTGTTAAAGAACTTACAATAGGTGGGAAGACTGTGAACATTATTGCAGAACTGATAATAGGTTTTTAGGTGTGGATTGGAAAGGGTGTGAGAAATGCCAGGCTTGTTTGTTTCTTTCTTTGCGCTTCTGCATAAAAGAAAAAATACTCAAGGTGAAGTGAATAAATTTCTTTGGTATTAATCTGTTGGCTACAATGTTACTAGAAAAAAAAAAGTGAGCTACTCTAATTTATCATTGTATAGCTATACATTTAAGACAAGACTTTTAAGGCTGGGTTGTACTTTCTGTGGTTTCTGCATTACAGTGATGTTACTTGCAGTGATTCATGTTTGATTATTTAAGAACTAACAGCTGAGTTTAAAGAAAGGAAACTTACAAGCTTCTGATTTTAAAGTAATCTTTAAACAAAGTATTGGAATGACATAGTTCACATTGTTGATTATATTAAACTGATTCCTTTTTTTATATTTTTTGTCAGCACTATTTTCAGAGCAAGGAAGTAATTATTTCTCTATAAATGTTACCTGAAAGACATGGCAAATGATGGGGAGATGAAAATTACAGTAAGAGAGTATCCCAACAAGATTAATTTCTTTTTTTCCTCTATATGTAAGAACATTCCTAGGTGCAGAGCCATTTCATGCAGGCTGTGGTGCTTGTTGCAGGCTGTTTGAGATTTGATATTTTGAGCAGTATAAAGTAATTATTATTATTGACTTCGTAATAATTGATCGCCCTGGAAGCACAAAGCCAGTGATTATTCTGCACAATGGTATGTCACTTACACTGGTCAGACATTTGTCATTCCAGCAGCTCTTCTGTTAAAAAAAAAGAAAAAAAGGGGCTGCTTACATGTATGCATTCTCATTGATCTATTATTTGCACTCCTTCTTTCGCAGCTCACCTGTAGTTACTGCAGTTGCTGCTAAATGTTTCAGGAAACTCCATGAATCTCTACAAGAGATGGAAAACAGAAAGGTTCTTTTGGTCTCAAAATCAGTCCCTTTGGTGCTGTATTGTTAGACATTAAAAGACATAATGGCAATGTTTTTATCCCAGCTGCGTTGTGGATGAGATGGACTTCTCAACAATGGAACTGGATGAAGCACTCAGGAAATTTCAGGCTCATATCCGTGTTCAAGGAGAAGCTCAGAAAGTAGAGCGGCTCATTGAAGCTTTTAGGTATGATGCTGAAATAAATTATTCAGTCACCAGGAACCTGCTGTTGGCTAATATTAAACTGGAGAACTGGGGAAGTTGGGTATATCTAAGCTATTCCAATGTTTATTTGCAGTGTCTTTGTGAGTTACATACAGTTTCAAATACAGCATGTCATTTGTGGTGGCTTTTGCTAAGTAGGAAATGGGCACTTTATTTGCTGGTGCTGTTCACATATGTTTGTATTAAGGTAGTAAGGTTTGTCAATTAAAAGTTCTTTCTGGCATCAGTTGAAAATAAATTCAAGGGGTTTTTTTAATGTCTCTAACAATTTGCATATAATAGTTTGTATAAGTGGAATTGTAAGACCATTTACATTTTAAAGTATATATGCTCTCAACTTTTCATTAAGCATTTCAACAATAGTGGAATAAAGAGCATTAACTTACTAATACTAACACAAGCGTGCTTTATCCAGGGCAGGATGAGATGTAAATCATCATATGGCAGTAAGCTCTAATCAATGCTGTGTTCTTACCTGGTGTTAATAGGTATTACTGAAAAAAAATAAAAATAGGATGTTATTGTAGCTCAGAATGGGTACTAAGTTGCAGTGGTAGTACAAAACCAAAGCCTTCTACATTCTAGGATTGGTTTATGAAAATACGTGGAGGGAAAACTAAATATATGCATGGAAGGTGAATAATGGTTTGTTCAGCCTCTGGAATGTAGCAGCAGTTGGTTTATTTGGTGGAAATAGAATTGTAATTCATAGCTCTGACAACTTCTCCTCTTTGCTTTTTTGCAGCCAACGATACTGTATCTGCAATCCAGGTGTTGTGAGACAGTTTAGAAATCCTGATACCATCTTCATTCTAGCTTTTGCCATCATACTGTTAAACACGGATATGTACAGCCCGAACGTGAAACCAGAACGCAAAATGAAGCTGGAAGATTTTGTCAAGAATCTAAGGGGTAAGTGAACTCCAACCACGATGGTCATGAAAGCTTTTCCCTGTAACTGTCACTGGATGGACACCATGTGTCTTCTGGGAAAAGGACAATATACAGGGCACTTGATTCTGATTTCACCTGACTTTTACAACTACTGTCATTTTTACAGGCTTTAGTTATTTCTGGAGTATTGAAAACAGAACTAAGCACGTAGTATTTTGTCATTTTTATCTTGTCTTTCTTGAGTGGATGTATTGTCAGGTCCTTTTATTCCCAGTTCTTTCAATGTACCTGAAAAGTGACCATTACCTCGTATTCAGAATTCTTCAGTACCTCAGGTTTTTAGGCATAATTGGAATTTGCAACACTTACACCCTTCACAAAATCAAAGGGCAACTCATAATGACAACAACTTCTATACACATGAGTGAAGGTAAATATATTCCATTGCAAAGAATGCGTTTCTTTATAGCTATGTAAATCTTCATATAGTGTCACTGCATGTTACAGACTATCCTGGGAGGAGGAATGTGATTTCTAGATAGTGAATTACACCACTGCAGCATAAGCTTACTGATCAGTTCTTACAGAGATGGCTGTCTTCATAGTTTGTAGTTTGTGATTTCTCCATAGCAACCGGTGCATTACAAAGCATATCAGATCTCTATTCTGAAAAAAAATTAAACAAGTGAGATCCCTCACATATTTTAGAGTCTTATTCTAAAAGGAAATTTCTTTCCTTCCCTAGTTTCAAAAGCATAAACCTCTTACACTTGTTAATTAGGCATGCAGAGGAGACAGAGCCATTGTCTCCGTGTTTTTGTTAGAGGTACATACCCGGGACCCAACACAACATAGCAGCTTTCCACATTCTTAAGAGATGTAGATTAGTGACTTTGCTAGAAACTTAAATGTTAGGTATTACCATAGAAAACTTGAATTTGCTCATGCTCTGTAGCTGTGTATATTAAGGAACACAAATCACTGTGCCATGATGAGGACATTTGTAAATAAACTAAAGATTTAATTTCTCAGTGGGGGAAAAAAAAAATCCTGACCTTCCCCTACCTTTCCTTACTGTAAAGTTACACAGTAAATAGCACAGAAATTTCATTTTAGTTTCTTCATTGCTATATTTCCTGGTCAAGAAACTGTTTGCCAGACTACGGCAGGCACACCTAAGCCTGCAATTAGAATGCCAAAAAAAATCTTTTTTTTTTTTTTTTCAAATCTGTATCTTGGGTCTTTCTATCCTGGTTCTTTCTGGTGAAAAAGAACAGGTTTTTATGATGTATCGGCTCAGCCAGTGCTCAGCTCTTCCTGACAAACGTGGTCACTGTGGAGCTGAGGAGGACGATGGTGCATGGGGAGATGACATTTCCTGTTGTTCCTGGGCACTCAGGGAAGAACGGATCAGACAGCATTAACCTTTTATCACAGATGTTAGAGAAATGAGGCTGAAGTCCCCATCCCTTTTTCTCCTTTAAGACAGTTTGTGCCCATAGGGAAAAACCAGCTTTTACTATAGTTCCATTACTGTGTGTTTGTGCAAAGGCCAGGAAAATTGCCTGCTCAGTCACTGCAACCCTCCTCCCCCTGCTTTTAAGCACAGGATAAGCAGGACCTAGTGCACAGTCTCTCTTCTTTTGCCAGCAGTGGGTGTAGCAGCCTGGCAGCAGAGTAGTCCTGCTACTGCAGGCACCAGCAAGCACTGCTGTATTGTTTAACAGCCATTTTCTCCGTGGTATCTCAAAGTGGGCTGAACAGCAGAAAGACAGAATCAAAATGCTTCATATATAAAAACACATTGGTACATCTCAGCTGCTTGACAGTTTGTATTCATGTGTGCACGTGGTACTTTCATTTTAGTACTAGTGAAAACAAAATACTTGCGCTGTTCTGGAATTTCAGATTTTGATAATGAAAGTCCTGTTTGGAGATTTTATTTCCTTAGATTTATATAAGACATTAATGAACAATCTATGCTAAGCAGATGTTTTAACTTAGCCAAATTTAGGTTACTGTTGCTATTTTATTGTAAAGCTCATAAAGATTAAAAAAAACCTGTTATTCATCTCTTCACATACTCCTACAGTTACATTTGTTGTATTAAATATATTTTCTCTGAGCTCCAGCCTGGATGCCAGCAGTTTCTTATTATTGTAGGCATTTTTATAACCAGCCACCTTGCCTCTAAATGACTGGATTGCAGAGAGTGGTCTGTGGCAGACTTGCTGGTGTGGAACAGAACAGAGGCTGTTTTGTTTGCTTCTACTTGCAAAGAAACTGTATTTTTTCACTGATTTTTTTTTTTTTTAATGTGAGCAGTTGTTCCACTGGATGACAAAATATTGTGTTTTGGCTTTTGAATGGGAGATGAGAGGTTATTTCTTTAAAAATCTGTCTAAAAAATAGACATGCATCTCCCCATCTCCAGGAAATCAGGTTTTAAGTCACTTATTGAAGTTGGACTCCTTCCACTGCTGTTAAAAATTCAGGATGAAGCATTAAAGCCTGTGGCATTTGTGAGAATACTGACACGATAATCACACAGTGCTAAACAATAATACTGTGACTAGGCTATTTTGTTGATTTGTTTTTCCAGAGTAAATGAATTGGTTTTGAAGTCATACAGGAATTATTGGTTAAATTAATTTTACTGGGTTTTCAGACAGTTCTCATGTAGGAAATTATTTTATGAACAGTGTGTTGAGTAATGTTGGGACAGAGGCAATATGTTTCTTCCCAGTGATGTACTCCTAGGAGGAAGTCATGTGGAGATTTTAGTGTCTAAAGGGCTATTTATTTCATTTGAGCTTTGATGCCAAACAGAGGAAATTTAAAAGAAAAAATGGATTTACATAGGAAATTAATCTTTTTATGGCTTAGTTTTAGATTAGAGACTTAAAACAAAAATACCCCAAACCTGTGTAATTTCCATCAGTGTCTTGGCGTGTCGGGAGCAGTAAGCTTTTGGACAGAGACCAGTGCTTCAGGCATGAGTAACATAACTTCAGCTGCTTTGGTAGGGTAGGCATGAGGACAGCACAGGAGATGTTAGCTGGCAGCTGTAAAACAAAACAGCATCAACTGTACATCAGCAGTCTCAGACAACACTGGCATTACTGTTAGCAGAGGAAATAAAAATTGCCCATGGTTTTATCCTCGTTGCTGAGAAGCCTACGTTGCTGAGAACTAGCAGTGTGCGTTAATCAGGTCATTCAGAGCCAGACTGCTGATAGAAACTGTTGACTTCTGCAGGTGTGGATGATGGGGAGGATATCCCACGAGAAATGCTCATTGGGATTTATGAGCGAATCCGCAAACGGGAGCTGAAAACAAACGAGGATCATGTGTCCCAAGTCCAGAAGGTTGAAAAACTCATAGTAGGAAAGAAACCGGTAAGTTCACTTTGCACTGCCTGTCAGTTACTGAGGAGATGTAGGGCAGTGTGCAGTATAGCACTATACACACACACACACACACACACACACACACACACACACACACATATATATATAGAACAATGTGTTGCTTAGAAGTATAAATTGGTAGATAAGTGGCAAAAGGCAGAAACTGCCAAAATAATGATTTGCTATAAGACTGATTTTAATTTTGGAGTATTCACAGTGTACATGAATTTTGTTATGAGTCTTAAACTCTTTTCTCTATGTGAAGTTTTAAAATTCTGAAATTACACTGAAATATCTGCATTTTAAGCAGACCTCATGTTTGTTTCAAGAGAATTGAAGTGTGTTGTTGAAGTGCTGTTGTAGAGAATCATATTTCAACATTTACACTATCAGTTATGGCTCGAAAATTTACAAGAGTAATAGAGAACTTAATGCTCATGTCAGCATCTTTCTCAGCCTTGCAGCTGACTCTGTGAACTGGTATTTGAGAGGGGAGATTGAGTTGTGTCTCAGAACTTACCTGGAAATCAGATGCCAGGGATTCTAGTGCTGGGTTTGAGCATCCTCTTCCTTCGTTGTGGGAAAAATCCTGAACATACTTTGCTATATAAATTAGTCTTCAAAGCATATGGTGGAAAAGGAGAGAGAAAAGGAAGGCTACAGCATTTTTCCCTTTGTTTTAGGAGCTGAGTGAACACAGACAAATTAAGATCAATATTTTACATGCTAACAGTTGTATGTAATGTGGAGAGGAGCAATGGATACTCAGCCTTCCTAAACTGTGGTCCTAGAGTCATCTTCTGAAATCTTTGTGTTAATGGTCACAAAGGCAGCCCAGAACAAAGCCAAAATAAGACAAGACTTGCATGTTTTTGAAGTCCTAGATCAGGTTTTTTATCAGCTTTGGGGAACTTTACTACAGCAGGGACTGATGAAGTGGAGGATTTTTTAAGATCATGGATCTCGGGATTCTTCTGATTTCTTTTGAAGAGCTTTGAATGGTAATCTCATCTCATACAAGCCTCGACACAGGGAGCAGGGGTAGGGAATGAACATTATGACATTACAACCAGGTGGCTAGATGAT